ACTCATTAAAGCAGGACATTCTTTGTGCATGTATTGAGCTAGGAAGGCCTTTGCAGAAAGGCATTTCCAGCTTTTCTTGAAAACACAGATTCTGACCTCTGCTGAACAATTCAGTTGGGACCATTACATATCCAGATGGTGATTCCTTCAAGTGATTATTTTTCCGCCTTGAGCCTTTCCAGGAATTCTAGCATGGGCAGGCCGCCAGGGGACACTGGCTACCCAGACACTGCAGAGACGTTCCATGTGTGCTGGCTTCTAGGGATATCAGAGCCTAGCTGCTGTCCTGAACATCCCCTATGTCATCTCCTCGAAGGCACAGATTTGTGTGCCCAGGTGCCTGCTCCAAAGCATGCTACCCTATGCATGTAGACATGGGAGGACTTGGGTTTACCTCCTGGCTCTCACCTCTGTGATCTTGGACAGGTCACTCAAACTCTCCTCCTCTTTACAGTGGAGATAGTAATGCTTATGATATCCACCTCATGCTATTAGTATGAGGAAAGTACCTTGTAAACCTTAAAATGCTTTATAACTGAATTACCATCAGTAACAGTAATATAACAACAGTGGTCACTGATTAATATTTAGTAGCTATTAAATGTATCTAGGGATGTGAAAGAAATGATAATACAAACGTATGAAAAGCAAAAAAATAAGAGAACCACAGCAAGAGGCTGGCAATGCTTTAAAAAAAATGGAAAAGTAAACTCTGTTAGCATTTCTAAGTTGGAAAAAACCTTCTGTTCTTAAGTTTCTTTCAGTAGACAAATAGCTACATTGAGCTAGGAATTAAATTGATAATGTTATTTTTGGTTGATTTTTTAAAATATTTATAGAAAAATTTTCTTAGGTAAAAGGATTGAACCTATAAGTTCACTGGTTTGGAAGTTCCCTTTACCCAATACAGGTTGGCACCATCTCTGCCTAGTGCACTGAAAGGTTAGGTAACTTATTCAGGGGCACACACAGCCTGTATCCCTCAGACAAGACTTGAAATTCATTCTTCCAGGCTTTGAGGCCAGCTGTCTAGCTACTACACCATGCTGCCACTGAATAACAACATTAAGAATAATTTGAAAAATATAAAAAGGATTCAAAGAGATCAGAAAGAAATATAAAAGCCAATAGAACATTTTTATTACTATTTTTACTAAATTTAATGTATGCTTTTTTAAAGAGGTAGGTATAGGAGCTGTGATTTCATTGATAAAGAGAATTCTCTGGTTTAGGGAACTCCTGCTGCCTCTGTAGCGTGGCACCTTCTCTACAATTTAAAGTCTCAGAGAATTGTCCATAGTACAGAGAGGTGGTGAACTTAATATTCTGCCTTAACCACCTGTATAATCTTAAGGAACTTATTTAATCTCTCTGGGCTTTGGTTTCCTGATCTGTAAAATTATAGGAGTGGATTAAATGACCTTTGAGGTCCTTTCCAGCTCTGGACTTATTATCCTATAATTGTTCAACATACTTTAGTAATGAATTCATTGGAAATACAGATGGCTTACTTATCAAGTATATGTCCAAATAGTTAGCAAGTCTTTTCACTTGTCAATTCTACCTCCACATATGTGCATCCCCTTCTGTCTGTTTACATGAACACTACCTTAGTTCGAGTCCTCGTAATCTCTGACTTGGGCTATTAAAAAGATCTTTTAATTGACTACCCTACTTTCATTCTCTTCGTAAATTGATACACCTCCCAAAATCATGTGCCAAATTAATATTCCTTAGACAGAAGTCTGACCTTGTTGCTCTCCAACTCCAGAAGCTTCAGTTGCTACTGATTGTCAGTAGGATAACATACAGACCCCTCATCTTGGCATATAAAACCATCCACAGTCTGATCCTAACCTGTATTTCCAGACTTATTTAACATTATCCCTTGTCATGAATTTTACATTCCAGCCAGGGCTGGCCTATTTACTGCTCCCTGAAGGTGACAATTTCTCCTCCACGCCTTTGCATCAGCTGTCACCTATGCCTGGAATGCACTCCCTCCTCTCCTCCACCTCTTTGAATCTCTAGCTTAGTTCAAGGCTTCCTCAGCTCAAGAGCCACCTCCTATATGCAAAGTCTTTTCTTCTTTCCCCGGTGTCAGTGCTTGGACCCTCCACTGTATATTTATGTGTCTAAATCTCATATCTGTCCAACAAAACATACACTCCTGGGGCAGCTAGGTGGTGTAGTGGATAGAGCACTGGCCCTGAAGTCAGGAGGACCTGAGTTCAAATCTGGCCTCAGACCAAACACTTGACACGTACTAGCTGTGTGACCTTGGGCAAGTCACTTAACCCCAATTGCCTCACTAAAAAAAAAAAAAACAAAACCAAAACCATACACTCCTTGAGGACAAAGACTATTTCAGTTTTGTGTTTGTATCCCAATACTTAGCACAGAGCCTCACACATAGTAGGCATTTAATAAATGTATATGGAATTGAACTAAAATCTTATCAGCCTTTTCTAGGTCAGTATTGCTGTCTAGCCAGCAGGGGGAGCATAGAACATTTAATTTGAAGACAATCTTTTTGAAGACAATCTTTTTAATGAGTACTTTTAGTTAGTTGGTATAGCTTGTGAACTTGAGGTGGGATAGGATGGGACAGGGGATGAGGAGGAGTTGGAGGCAGGGAAGAAACAGAGCATACACACACACACACACATACACACACACATGCACATACACATGTATCTACATACATACATATATATATATATATTTCCTTAAGTAGATTTAAAGACAAAGCCATCATAGTAAAAAACAAAAGGTAGTGGCTCTTGGGTTATTTAAAGTTAGATATATAATTTGGATTTAATAAGTGCATGCTGATAGATTTAATTTCAATGTTAATGTTTAAAATGCTGCAGAATATATCAAAAATTAACAGTTATTTGGAGGTAATCATGTCCTGGGCATTATATAGGACAGTCTTGAGAAAGCTACTTATCCACACACCTTATAAGAGCAGCAGTTGCCAAAATTCAGTTTCAGGCACAAATTAAAATTCACTCTCTTATCTTAGATCTTCCACATCATCCTCAATTTCCATAAATATCTGCTCTATAAAGTACCTCTCTGCCTTTCAAGCAGTACTCTTATTGATTAAAAGTCCTTTAGTGTGAGATGTCACCTCTAGCATCGATCATGAAAATGAGTAAGGGAGTGGGGGAGGGAGAGACTTCCAAAGTCAAATTGTGCAATTTTGCCTCTTATATTAAGTAGAACAGGAACTTTTGGGTTTTTTTTCTTTATATTCACAGCCCTTAGCACAATGCCTTGGGCATAGCAAGAGTTTAACAAATAATTATTTAGTTGAATCTGCCCTTGAAGGAATTTGGACAAGGGGGAGGGAAGGGGAGAAAATGTAAAACTCAAAAGCTTATGGAAGTGAATGTTGAAAACTAAAATAAATTAATTAAAAGAAAGAATTTGGACAAGGAATGCTAAACCTTAGCCAAAAATAAAAACAAAAACTGACAACCAACAACAGAAAATTATAGGTGAGACCTGGGAAGGGAGAATGTGTGGGGAAGGGGAATGTAGTGCTGTATAAGGGAAGAGCTGGGTGGGGCCAGAAGAGTACAGCATTTGCTACTGCAGAGAAGGGAAGAGTGTTGAAGACCACTTACTTCTTCTCCCTTGACTCTCTTAACTGAGAAAGGATGAAATAACTGTTGTTGTTTTTAAGCCAAGTGAAAAAGAGCATGGAAGAGGGATGCCAACAGCAAGTTTTGGCTAAGGCCATTTTAAGTTGCAAAGCTTTGGTTCCTATTGCTTCTCCAGGCCTGTAGCACTGATTACTAAATTGAGCCCTTGTTTCCTGTAAAAGTTAAATTCAATCTGTTTCTTGTTATAGTTGTTCTTATTGGTTTGCTAATTGTTCTGCCCTTGCCCAGGTGGAAATCTGTTTGTTACATGAAACAGCTGAGCCGAGTTGTGGTGACTCATGGTTCAGTGGTTACTAAGAAACAGAAATAAGATACAGTAAAGAACTAGCTGTGGGCTCACCGTCCTGGTGCCTTTACAGTTTTAAACATGCAGGTACAATTTTAAACATGCAGGTACAGTTTATCTGAAGAATGTTTCCTTCCTTTTGGATTTCATCGCTTGAGTTGATTCTGAGTGGACATTTTTATAGATATTAAGGTAGAGGAGAAGGGAGAGAAAGGAAGGAAAGGCAGTAGCCAGTAAGCAAACCCTCCCAAGGAAGCTTTAAAATCACCAAAGAAGGAAAGAAAAGAATGTAAAGAAATAAAATCAAATCAACACTGGTTGGCTTGCAGCAATCATTTTGCTCATTGGTAATGAATGGTAATACTACTTAGGCTGAAACAGTATTTTAGGGATGAGAATTATTTGTGTCTGCTTGTCCTGAATTTCAGGGAGCAGTGTTATAGGCATGTGTTTGTATGTGCTAGGGGAATCTAACTAATGAATGTTTAACATGGACCCTGGGAGATGATAAGAATGCAGAAATAACCCTTTGAGACTATTTCAAGAGTTTCGTTTCCAGCACATGGATCTTTTGGGAGCTCATATAGTTGTCTTGAACTCAGAGCATCCTTCCCATGGATTTTTTTCACTCATCCAGGGAGGATGCAAAGGGTAAGGTGTGTGTTCAGGGCAGGGGAAAAGGGTGGGGTTAATACTTCTGAAGCCAGAGTATATGAAATGCAGTGTCTCCTGACCATGACAACTAGGGAAGAGGTAGAGGCATGGGGAATTATAAAGAGAAGTTGTTTTAACTACAACAAAATTATAGCTTGTAAAAGTTCTGATTTGCTTAATGGTTTTCATGACGTATGAACTGACATGGCCAGTGTTGTCTCTATTCTTATACTATGGCTATAAATAGGATCTTGGCAATCCTATTAATAACCAAAGGCCTCTTCTGAATTTTGTGTGGGATTCCCTACCCCACCCCCAGGACTGATATTGTGATTTCCTCTCCCTCCTTCCTTCCCCCCGCCTCACTGCCCCCTTTCTTTTTCCAGAATCCCGAGCAGCTGTTGGAAGATTGTGCTCATAGGGAGATGATTCCTCATGAAGTCTCTGGATCCCCTTCAGAAATCAAATGCGACTTTCCATTTACCAGACTGAAACCATAACTAGCCAGACAGTGAAGCAGTCACAGTGGAGGGGGGACGGAGAAAAATGAAATCCAACCAAGAACGGAGCAATGAATGCTTGCCTCCCAAAAAGCGTGAGATTCCCGCCACTAGCCGGCCATCGGAGGAGAAACCAGTGGTCGTGCCAAACGACAACCACAGGGCCGAGAGCTTGACATGGCTCCCCAGCACTCAGAGTGGACAAGGCAGCATGGGTGGGAGGCCTGGGCCTGGGGGGACCCCGGCAGTAGAGCTTGGTTTACAGCAGGGAATAGGTTTACACAAATCACTGTCCACAGGGATGGATTATTCTCCACCCAGTGCCCCCAGGTCTGTTCCAGCCACGACCACTCTCCCTGCGGTGTACCCTCCCCCACAGTCAGGGACCCCGGTGTCCCCTGTGCAGTACACACACTTGCCGCACACTTTCCAGTTCATTGGGTCTTCCCAGTATAGTGGGCCCTATGCTGGCTTCATCCCCTCCCAGCTGATCTCCCCTCCAGCCAATCCTGCCACCAGCGGAGTGGCCTCTGCTGCTGTGGCCACCACTCCATCACAGCGCTCCCACCTGGAGGCCTATTCCACTCTGCTAGCCAACGTGGGCAGCTTGAGCCAGCAGCCAGGGCACAAGGTTGAGCAGCAACAGCATTTGATCAGGACTCCAGGGCTTATCACGGCAGGGTCCCCACCACCCACACAGCAGAACCAATACGTCCATATTTCCAGCTCTCCCCAAAGTGCTGGGCGTACCATGTCCCCTCCAGCCATCCCAGTCCACCTGCATCCCCATCAGACGATGATCCCACACACACTTACCCTGGGGCCTTCCTCCCAGGTGGTGGTGCAATACACAGACTCTGGTGGTCATTTTGTTCCCCGGGAATCCACCAAGAAGGCTGAGAGCAGCAGGCTACAACAGGCCATACAGGCCAAGGAGATGCTGAATGGTGAGATGGAGAAGAGCCGGAGATACGGTGTCCCCTCCTCTGCAGACCTGGGCCTCATGAAGGCAAGCGGGAAGACGGCCTCTCACCACTATGAAACCAGACACGTTGTGGTCCACTCAAGCCCTGCTGACTATAGCACCCGTGATTCATCGGGGGCGCGGGCCTCTGTGATGGTCCTACCCGACAGCAACACACCCACCGCAGACATGGAAGTCCAGCAGGTCACACACCGAGAGGCCTCCCCATCCACCCTCAATGACAAGAGCAGCCTCCACTTAGGGAAGCCCAGCCACCGGTCATACGCTCTGTCCCCACAGCAGGCTCTGGGCCCTGAGGGTGTGAAGGCCGCCGTGGCCACGCTGTCACCACACACTGTCATCCAGACCACCCACAGTGCTTCGGACCCCCTCCCCGTTGGACTTCCAGCCTTCTATGCAGGGACTCAGCCACCCGTCATTGGCTACCTGAGCAGCCAACAGCAAGCAATCGGTTACGCCGGCAACCTGCCGCAGCATCTGGTGATCCCTGGGACCCAGCCTCTGCTCATTCCCGTGGGCGGCGCCGACATGGAGCCATCCGGGGTAGCCCCTGCGATCGTCACTTCATCTCCCCAGTTTGCAGCAGTGCCTCATACATTTGTCACTACCACCATTCCCAAGAGTGAGAATTTCAGCGCAGAATCCCTGGCCACTCAGGCAGCCTACCCAGCCATGGTGCAGGCCCAGATCCACCTCCCCGTGGTCCAGTCCATTGCATCTTCCGCAGCCGTTCCCCCTACGCTGCCCCCGTACTTCATGAAAGGGTCGATCATCCAGTTGGCCAACGGAGAGCTGAAGAAGGTTGAGGACCTGAAAACAGAAGACTTCATCCAGAGCGCTGAGATTAGCAACGACCTGAAAATAGACTCTAGCACCATAGAAAGGATTGAAGACAGCCCTACCCCAGGCATTGCAGTCATCCAGTTTGCAGTGGGAGAACATCGAGCACAGGTAATGTTCACCCCAGAGCTCCCTCACAAATATTGGCAGTCACACACCCACTTCAGATGCTCCACTTTTTTTTTCTCTCACAAGATGGATGGACTTCTCGGCCAAGCTGGGGGGAGATTGTCTTCTCGTTTGTGCTTAGGAATAAGTCCCATGTAAGGGCCTATCTTCTCCAAGCCTAAGTAACTGATCTCTTTTCCCTGTTTCAAGAGGAAATGAAGCAATAACTGATATAGGGTGGTGAAGTGAAACTTGTACTGAATTTGGAGTCTGGGGTTAAATCCTAGCTCTGACTCTTATTACCAGTTTGACCTCTGAGGTTTAAGTTCCTTCATCTGTAAAATGATAGGATTGTACTGGAAGACCCCTAAGGTCCCTTCTATCTCTCAGTCTGTGATTTCTGGTCAGGCTATAATCATGTGAAGGTCAACGAGTCCTTGTATCACCCTGCTACTTCAGAGAAACCATAACTACCGTGAGTGATCTCCTTGGCTGTAGGAACTAGGAATTCCAAGAACAGGATGACAGCTAAAACTAAGACAAGCCATTCATCCAAAGTGTGTCCTTCCCTTCCTGGTTTCCACACATTCCTTCCCTCTTTCCTACCTATCCCCTAAATAATTTTAAATAATTTATTTCCATAGCTCGTTTGTAATGAACAGCAATGCCCTTGTTCAGGTTGCTTTAAATCAGTTGTTAGGTCAAATGGATTTGATTTGGTCAAGGGTTTGAATTTCTATGACTAGAAATCAAAGAATCTTCTTGGAATATTTCCGTTGAATACTTTGAAAGCACTAAACTGGTACAGGATCCCATTCAGATTTTAAGGCAAAAGTGATTTAAAAGGAGTGGAGTTGATATGTTGAAAAGTCAGGGCTTATACGTTGTACTGGGTTTGAATTGGTCTGTGTATATGTGTTTTTTAAAGGAAAAAAATCAAGAAGATTGGGGTGGAAGGGATAATCATTTTACAATATATTTTCCAGAAGTGTTACGTGAACGGCCCAGAGTGGTGGCCTTATGGTTTTAGGGGATATCCCATCTATTGCTAAGTATTCCTGGACCCAGTAACCACCCCAAATTTTCTGTCTCTGTGTTACAAATCTCTTTCTGCATGATTCCTATAATGATATTGTTGTTGTTGAGTTATGTCTGACTCTTCATGACCCCATTTGGGGGTTTTCTTGGCAAAGATACTAGAGTAGTTTGCCATTTCCTTCTCATTTTACAGATAAGGAAACTGAGGCAAACAGGGATAAGTGATTTGCCTAGAGTCACACAACTAGTAAGCGTTTGAGGCCAGATTTGAACTCATGTATGAGTCTTCCTGATTCCAGGCCCAGTGCTCTATCCACTGTGACATCTAGCTGCCCCTGCCTATACCCAGGAAGATTTTGAAAAGTTCAGATCTTTTAGAAAATGGCAAAGACCACATTTTAATTAGTTTTTCTTTTACAGACAACAATAAACAAACATTAATTTCTTCAGAGTTTAACATCATTCTCCTTTTTATTAATTGTCTCCTCTTAAAGGGTTAAAATAAGGTTCTAAAAAAGATGGCAGTGTAGCACAAGTAACCCTTAATAGGGCACCTCTTGGTTCACTGCCTGAGCTAGGCCTGTAGAGTAAACACACAACTCTATTTTAAATGAAGATTGAATTGGTTTTCTCCTGGCATTTTTTAATTTTTTTTTTAATTTTTGAGTTCCAAGAACAGTGATTCCATCTCTAAGAAGTTCCTAGGGTGGAAACTTTCTCTAATTTATATTAGCAACTTGTTTGTGACTTACCATCTTAGACAGTTGCCTAGGGGCACTCAGAAGTTAAGTAACTTGCCCAGGGTCACTCAGCCAGTCTATGTCAGAGGCCGAGACATGGGGCCCAGGTCTTCCTGCCCCCATGGCCAACTCTCTATCCCTATGGGTTTAGCAATAGTGACTTTGGAAAGGAAATCCTTCTTAAAATGTGTTCCTTAACAGAATTCCTTTAAGAGACAGAAGAAAGGGGAAGCAGGGTTAGTTACTTGGTGTTTACACTCTAAATCCCCAATGGCATCAGTAACATGTAAACTGTGTAACCTTCACATTCCTTTTCAGGCTTTATGATCCACTAGGCAGTTCTTAGTGAGGAAATGTCTATTTGTATTTTTCCCTATTCAGTACTCTTCAAAATGAGAATGTAAGACATAGAGAAATCGGCTTCCATGTGTAGTCATATCCTTGCTCTCATTTCTCTCCTTGCAGCCAGACCACTAGTCACTCTGCAGAGGTGCAAATTAGTAGGTAGACTTTGTGTGGAATCTTGTTCACAGATCTGTCAGCACAGCCCCTGTGTTGTCTCAGTGCATGCTGGGAAAATCTTCTACATAGAAGGGAAGAACATGATGTGTACTGCTAAAGGGGGTATCTTGGATTTCATGCGGTAAGAACAGAATTGCAAGGCACCAACTCCACAAACGATTTGTCACCTTTCTGAGAGCCATATCAGAATCAGGCTTACATCATCACAGCTAAAATACTTCACCAGCTGTGTTTCTCACAAGGGATGGCTCCAAAGTCCGCAGAGAAAGTCACATAGAAGTATGACTAATCTCTGGGCTTAATTTAGCTTTTATGCTGTGGGAGTCCCTGTCCAGCTCTGTGGTGTCCCTCAGTGTGGATTTTCTTCCCTATGCCTACGGAATCCATTTCATCTCAGTGGGTAAAAAATTGACAGTACTTCCAACCACAGGATATTATTTAGGTTAATTATCAGAATTACAATGTTTTGCTGTGCTTTACTTTTTGTGGGAATAGGGAAGGAGTGGTCAAAGATGAATAGAATTATGATCTTATGCCTAAATCCTCAAATAAAAAGTTCCAAAATATTTATCTTCACAATTCCTACCTTTATTATTCTATGAATCTTTATTTTTCATTCTTAGGTGCAGAATGATTGTTGGGCTGCTGTCCAATACATCTTTCCCATGTTCTTTAGCTCATTGATTACAAGAGCCGGGTTTGGCACTGACCTATAAGTTGACAGATGTGGGCTCTAGTCTCAGCTCTGCAACTTATTAGCATTGTGACATTGGACAAGTCAATACATTTCTCTGAGCCTTATCCTTCCTTATTTTATATTTTCATTTCAGTCCAACAGATGGATTGATCTGTTGCAATCTCTCCACTGGGAGATAGGCAATTTGAATAAAAGGTTTTATCCCTGTGGGACTTAAAGCCTCATAGGAGGGATATGACACATGCAGAAATAATTTTAACATAAAATGATATCTTGTAAGTACATAAATAGGAGAAGTATACAAGCAATCTAGAGCCCAGGGGAAGAGGTCATTACTAACATGTGGCATCTGAGTAGGTTTGACGTATTGCTGAGATAGTTGATCAGGCACCCTAGGTTCAAATCCTTAGCACAAGGGCTAGACCCAGTCTCTTCAAGCTCTAGCTTTCTGTGCTTCTCTTTCTGTCTTAAAAAACCCATTGTAGTTTTTACATTGACCATCACCACAAGTAACCTTAGAGGGGAAAATGGACAACTACTATTGTCCTGCCCTCATGTTAGATTAGGGTAGTAAGGTAGTGCAGTGGATAGAGTGCCAAGCCTGAAGTTAGGAAGACTCATCTTCCTGAATTCAAATCAAATTCCTGAGTTCAGGCACTTACTATCTGAGTGACCCTGTTTGCCTCAGTTTCCTCATCTATAAAATGACCTAGAGAAGGAAATGGCAAACCATTCCAGTATCTTTGCCATGAAAACTCTGGATGGGATCAGACAAGACTGAAATGACTGAACAGCAACATGTTAGATTAGCCCATGCAGGGGAAACCAAACCCATCCTGTATAAAAATGTGGGCTTGTTTTATTTTTAAGGAGTCAAGTTTTTAACTATTGCTGTGGAGAGATGCTATGAAATGTTGTCTCTAGCTGAAGATCCAGACACTGCAGTACAGCAAAAAAACCCAAAAAACCCAAAACAAACAAAGAAAAAAAAAACCTTCACACATTCACCACAGTCTCTGAGGTTTCACCATTCCCAGCATAGTATTCCCCTATACACACAATTCCTTCTCCCTTTGCAAGCCTTTTAGTTTCTCACTGTTCATTATTCTTCAGAACAGAAAGAGAAACAAAAGAAAGTTTTAGTCATTACCCACTGCCAGCCATTGCAGGCATTCACTCGGCCTTTTTATAATCACTGTGCATTCGCTAATCACTCTGGTCAAAGGGTCAGGGCACATTCTTCCTAAAATGACAGGCAATCAGTGATGTGAGCCACCCACCACTCAAAGCCAGCAGGTCTGTGGCTAGGAGGCCTTTTGTAGTGAGTGAGGGATCCAGTGTGCTGGCAGACAGGACCTGCTTCCCTTCTGAATCATTGCCTACTGTGATGCCCCTAATGCACAGATCTGTGTTGTATAGCAGCCTCCATCCCTTGGGCTAGAGGACCACCAGTTGAAACAGCTGCAGCCTGGAAAAGAAGGGGTAAGCATCACAGAGTGGCTTCTTCCACACTGGGTAAGGTGGACCTACAGGTTGGGGAAATCTGCTGGGGAAAATCAAGTTCAGAAGAATCATTATGTTGTCTGTGTCCTTCAGTCTAAGCTTCTTGAAGGAAAGGTAGTTTTGTACCAAAATGCTGGCAGAGAAGGCTTAATTTATCTAAAAAACACAGTAGATTTTTTTTAACCTTCTTACATTCAAGTAGTTTATAATGATCAGTGACCAAACAGCTTTAGGGTACACATGTATACATCTTAGAGGAAAGGAAACTGAAAGTTCATTTTCATGAAAGTCTATGTCTAACTGAACAATCACTGGAAAATCAAAAACAGAGGAAACCCCAATGGATTAGGACTTTTAGGGCCTAGATCTCAATTCTCACTCTGTCATGTCAAATAACCCCATGAAAAACAACAAAAAAATACAAAATATACTACCTTTCCTGTCTCCATGCATGTAACTTTTGGGGCAGTGTGCTATAGATTTAGAGCTAGAAAGGACCTTTG